AGAAGTACCCCAAAAAGGGACCCTAATTCGGGTTATGGTACTTATAAGTCCCTAAAATAACCAGTTACTAAGTCCCCCGACCCTCCAAGTTGGTCCTAGTGTACTGCGGTTTTACCCTTTCATGTGGGATCCTCTATCAGACGTCAAGAATATGAAAAGGTAGCATTGTGGTAAGCGCATACTCGAGGAGCCAAGTGTTAGATGGTTGTTATGGTTTTCTGATTTGGAGGGAGGCTCTTAAATTGCTGTATTGTTAACACTCTTCTTAGGGCTGCGAAGACTGTGCCAGTTCCCTGAAGCGACTCTCTAAGTGGGCGAACTTGACTCAAACCCAAAACTCCACGAGGATGCCACAACTAAGCTTCAGGGCCTATGTTGTTGGTGAGCCTAGGGTTGCCGCAGCCAGGCGGGTAAGGTTCAGGAATGGTTTCTGAGATTAAGCCTGGCTGTCCAAGGATGCTTCTGAATGCATCCAAAGAGTCCAGCCGACGCACACCGCGGCCTTCCTCTGCGCGAGGAAAGGCAACGACTGCAGGAGCAACGAGACTGAATACATATCTGGCTGTAGCATTTAAGGGCCTAGACGTAAAACGGTATCCCGCGCAGGGACCTCCTTTTCGACACAAGGACCCCTGTGCCGTGAGTCCTTTTTGTGGTGGAGTTTGGGGCGTAGGATTTACCTTTCGTGTCTTCGTCGTACCCATAGGCCCCATATTAGTTCCTTTTTGGGGTTCATAGATAGAATTCTATAAGGTAATCCACGCAAAAAGGAACTACTATGGGGCCTGTGGGTAGTTCCTCTTGTTGGTTACTTTGGTTTTCTATTGTCGGATACTAGCATTTGCAATGGTTAACCGACAAAAGCGTCTGTGGTGACTATAGTCAGGGTCTACTATACCATTGTTATTGAACCCAGGGTGCAGTTCCCTGTTGAGCTTCTTTTGGCATATTTGAGGTGCCGGGAGAATTACTAATAGTATCTGCTGGTAGTTCCTAATTTCAACTACCAATTGTCAAATGTCCCCATACTACATGTACCACATGTTCATTGTAGCTGTTTTCAGGTCATCTTGCAGGATGCGCTTGATGGACGGAGGGAGGGAGGGAGGGAGGGATGGATGGATGGATGGATGGATATATGTATTCATGTGTGTAATATTTACATGTGTATGCATGCATATATACATATATATATATATATATATATGTATGTATGTATGTATGTATGTATGTATACGTACATACGTCCATACATGCATGCGTACATACATACATACACACACACACGCATACATACTTACATGCATACATACATACATACATACAAACATGCACACATACATAAATACATACATACATATACACACACATGCATACATGCATGCATGCATACACACGTACATACATACATAGGTCTGTCTGTATAGGCACATACGTAACACAGAGAGAGCGACAGAGAGAGAGAGAGAGAGAGAGAGAGAGAGAGAGAGAGAGAGAGAGCGAGAGAGCAACAGAGAGAAACAGAGAGAAACAGCGAGAGATCGCCGAAACCCGAAGCCTCAAGACATCCAACAGCCGAGACTCTGCAAAATCCGAAATTCAAACCCTAAACCCTAATTCAGGGGCCTTGATTCCTTGATAATTGCCTATACTATCTTGGGTTCCTTACTCTAATTATGGTATAATTTACTCCAAAACCCTATTCTAATTATTGAGGCCCCTACATTAAACCTACTAAACGAAACGTCACCTCTCGCCCCTAACAGGTCCGTCCCTCAGGCGGCGAGAGGTCCGCCGCACGTCCAGCCGCCGACTCCTCCACGCGGTCCTACCCCCAGAGGTTCCAGGGCTCTTCGAGGGCACTATCAAGGTTACTACACTAATATAATATATAGGGGCTTAAACAATAACCTATACTATTTTGGGGGCTTCTTCTTATAACTGTGGTAGAGTGGGCCCCAAAACCCTGTTCCAATCATTAAGACGCCTGTATTAGTTACGGGTCACCACAGCGGTCATTAGAAGGTGCTATTATTGCAGTCTTGGCGCGTCTTACCAGTTTCTGCTCGTGTTATGAGTTGCACCGGTCTCAGGCAACGAGCTTCCGTTGGCCCGACCCTGGCCATTCTATTTCTTGAGGCCCCTACATTACTTAGAGGTTCATGGGTAGTTATAAGTGGGGTTATAAGTCCCTTAATATTGGTTATACGTATAAGTATACTTACCCTACTTGTAACCCACTTATAGCCACCCATGAACCTCCGAGTAGGCCCCTACATTAAGGCTAAAGCCTCCCCTACACCCTAAACCCCTAAACCCCTAAACCCCTAAACCCTTAAACCCCTAAGCCGTAAACCCCTGCACCCTCAACCCCTAAACCCTGAACCCCTAAACCCTAAACCATAAACCCCTAAACCCTAAACCCCTAAACTAAGCCAAAAGCCTCCGACCCGAAGTCGAAGCCACCGGAAAGGGCTCCTCGAAGACGCGCCCAGTCCTCTCCGATGCAACAGCCCTCTCCAAGGCCGGTTTAGGGTTTAGCGTTTTAGGGTTTTAGGGTTTTAGGGTTTTAGGGTTTAGGGTTTAGGGGTTGGGGCTTTAGGGGTTTAGGGGTTAGGGGTGTAGGGGTTGGGGATTTAGGGTTTAGGGCTGAGGGGGAGGGAGGTTTGTGGTTTAGGGTTTGGGATTTATATAGATTTGCGGTTTTTGGTTGTGGACATGTTGGGGTTTAGGGTTTGGGGGCTTTAGGATTTTTGGTTTTAGGGTTGAGGGCTTGTTATGGAAACTAAGAGAGCAAGACCTATGATAGACGGGATCTTGCAGATCTAAGTTGTATCCTACCCTTATCCCATGCTTCGGGGGCCGCGCTTGCATGTCGGACAGCGAAATATGACACACCTTGTTGAGTCCGTGTCTGCGAGGTTGCGAAGACAGGATCAGTGCCCACCCACATGTTCGTGCAACACAGCATGCGTGCTAGCATAGCACGGAGGTTAAGAGGGAGTTCAAAGCTCAAAGAAACTTACTTGGAGCGTCGGGGGACTTCGTAAGTAGGTAGTAAGTAGACTTATAAGCCCCCCAAAAGCGACTCTAATTGGGGTTATGGTATTTATAAGTCCCTAAAACAACTAGTTACTAAGTCCCCCGACCCTCCAAGTAGGGACAAGTAGCAGCGGGCGCAATGCAATCGTATGGGCGCCTTAATGGTTGGAATAGGGTTTTGGAGCCCGTTATACTATAATCATAATAAGGAACCAAAATACGGTTGATGATATAAATCCTGCATGACCCATAATAAGGAATATATGGGAATTATGGTATATTCCTTATTATGGGTCATGCAGGATTTATATCATCAACCGTAGTATAGGTAATTCTTGAGGCCCCTGTATTAAATTGGGAGGACAACGGATTCAACCCGCTGGACATTTCTCGTCTGAAGGACCTTTTGCGGGGTCAGTGCCCGGAGGTTCGAAAGACGCGGCCTGGCCAGCAGAGTATTTTATGCCCCTTGTTGAAAACTACCATCCTACTTTGCGGAGGATGAACAGGTGGGTCAGGTTGGTTAGGGTTCTACAGGGGAATGGGGGCCTTTGCTCGTCACACCGCAGTCTTGAATACCTTACATTACATTTTGCATCAGCACGTCCATCATGCATAGGCATAGACACCGGTAGACTCACACATTCCTGTTTGAGTATAAGACCATCGGTATACGCAGTATTTGGATATGCAGTTACGGGGACAGATACATGTACAGCAACATAACCATACGTGCACAGACATACTCATGCGGTGTGATTCGAGCCAGACCCTGAGCCCTAGATGTTTGCAAAGGGGCTCCTCTCCGCGGCAGCACGACAGATCAGCCGACGTCCCAGCGGAGGTAGGTGGTTGTTCTTGGCTGGAGGTTATTGGGTCTAAAGATTTAGACACCGGATTAAGCTAGCTTAGGGCTTACTTGGAGGTTGATGGGTAGTTATAAGTAGGGTTATAAGTCCCTTAACATGGGTCATAAATATGTTACCTGAGTTATAATCCTACTTATAACTGCACATGAACCTCCAAGTAGGAGGCTAACGAAGTGTTTCAGCATCGGGAGTGCTAAATATTGTTGCTCGGACTGACCTGGTTGAACGGATGCTGCAGACTCGATGGCAGAACCCTACACTACTCGTGTTCGGTGTCGACAAGCTATGGGAGGTGGAGCTTGAGTATGTCTACGGAAACAGAAGCAGTTGAACGAAAAGACCGTGGCTGAGGGTTCAGTCGCTTGTTCTAGGTGGAAGCTTGCATTGCCCGCAGGAGGGGGCACCTAGCGGCGTGAGGTGTTTTCCGCACAATCAATTTCCGTTCCTCGTGCTATGGCTATTTGTAGTATTGGTTGCAACCAGTTGCTCTTAGTAATGTCAGTTGCAATGCGTGGCAACTCAGGGCAAACCGTGAGGACATTAGTTCGTGGGATGGAGCTGGGTGACTTTTGGCGGATTATAACCTCAACTAGCATCGTTACAGTTTCATGTTACCTCATCCGGATAGCAACCTCCTTCCTTCACTCGAATGGTAGTCTTGCAAGTGTGCATGACGGCTCGTTGATTCTGCTGCAGCCCCTCGAACTCTCTAGGAGACCATCCTGTATGTGGCTCTGACGAAGACTTGGTCTAGTTGCTAATAACTCTAGGCAACTTTTCGCGTCCTATAAACCCTGGTCGCTAAACCCGTAGTAGCCACCGTGCTTTGAGTGGGGTGGTTAAGGAGCTGCAACAGTAAATTTGCGACGCCCAGCAACATCGTCACCATCCTCACGCAACACATCAACGGTAAATGCTCAATAGATCGCAGTAGAAAGGCTAATGCCGGATCAAACGACAGCAGAAGCGCACAAGCCAATACTGTAGAAGCCTGAATGATTACCAACATTGTTCCTGGGGATTCCTCATTATAGATACACTATGACTGAGCCCAAAACCGTATTCAAACTGTCAAGGCCCCTACAGTAAATGCCTAAATTAGTTATGGCTTCGTTGATGGACCAGCAGTTTATCGCGGGTATCGGCAGTCTGGCGCTGGCTTTCCACCTACATGCGACATGCGGAGGTCATTGGTGCGGAGTGTCGCAGGTGGGGCTTGTTACAGTAATGGTTCAGTGGTGTCTACTTATTGGCTCATCAGCTTCTTGCACGCTATGTTACGCTTGGCATCGTCTGCGCCGATGCTGCAGCTATATAGTATGTCACATGTCGTACTATTCGCATCTTTGGTCCATCTTCTGTTGCAATTGGCCTGATTTGATGTCTTCTGGCAGTTTTGTTCAGGTGATTCGGGAACTCCAAACCCTAATCCCTAGGCAGCATTACATCATCAGCTCAGGTTCATAGTTTCTCGACGTTCCATAATTCAAGGATCGTGGGTCTTAGCAAATGCGGCTGTAAGCAAGGTGGCTATAGTTGTTAATAATTATAGAACCAAGTAAGGCAGTTATAACCTACTAAGTCCCATGATCAAGGCTTAACATAGGGGCGTGAATAGTTACCAAAATTATTGCTGAGGGCTCCTTTTTTGTACGTATAGTACTATTATGTACGCCCGCAAGCCCTATACTTGTTGTTCTTGGCCCCTGTAGTGCACGATTTGAGCATGCCTCGTTACATCGACCTATAGTCTGCGGCACGATGCGCTTTCTGGCTCATAGGAGGCCAAAAGGGGTTTTAGCCTATGGGGGTTTAGTAAGGATTAGGGTTCCCACGATAGGGTTCATATTAAGGAATCCCTACCCCAAGAATCTTAAACCCCCCTTTTGGCCTCCCATCACTGACAGAGTGCTCACTGCGATTTTCGCTTCTCACACAGTTGCGATCTTTCTGCATCTCGAGCGATCGGTTGTTCTGACTCCGTGGCGTCCCAGTAAGATAGGTCTGCTATGATGCCAGACCATGCATTGTTCTGTCGTTTCGTCTGAGTATACACAGGCATGCATATGCTGCTGTCTTAAGTTCTGCTGTGTCGAGCTGTCTGACCACTCCACTGTCTCGGATTTCGATGTCGAGGGCTCAGCATTTAGGAAGTCAGCGGATTGGCATCCCAACCTTAAGCGACTGCTTGTCGTAGCTATAGTCATAGATACTTATGTATGCAAGTGAGGTACAGTAGTTATAACTAGTCATAACCTAACTACTTGGAGGTTCATGGGTAGTTCTACGTAGGATTATAAGTGTAGCTATAACTATAACCCATGTTAAGGGGCTTATAACCCTATTTTTAACTACCCATGAACCTCCAAGTGGGTCCCATGATGTTCATGATGCTCCGAGAAATGGGTAATTATGTGGCAGGTGCTGTTTGTTCGGAACCTCCATGCTTTTCGTTTCCCCGCTCAAGACTTTCCGACAGTCAGGCACTGTCTGTTCTCCCAGGGGTTGGATAGCTACAAATAGCATTTGACCTCCTTGGGTAGGTATTACTTGGAGGGCCGGGGGACTTAATAAGTAGGTAGTAAGTAGACTTATAAGTACCCTAAAAGGGACCCTCATTGGGGTTATGGTACTTATAAGTCCCTAAAACAACCAGTTACTAAGTCCCCCGACCCTCCAAGCAAAGGGTCCTATGTACTGTTATGAGGGATACTTCCCTAAGTCATAATAGTAAATTCCTGATATGGAGACCCTACATTCTACTGTATCGGTACATAGGACCCTTTGGGGAACAATTGGGCCCATAACCACAGCCGCCCAATGACAACCTGAAGCCAACACGAGTAGGCTTCGTAAATATGTCAAGTGTGTGAATCAATGCAGAAGCACAGGTAGGCAGTTCCACGCAGTGCTGAAAGAGGAAAACCTAGCTGTGCTAGCGCAAGCGTACAAGCGTGGCCGTGCTCAGTTTGGAGCAACCATCCAGTCTGCATTCCCCGGCAGGCACTCGGGAAAGGGACGACATCCGATCAGCCACCGCTCAGTGAGAGTGAGATCTCACGTCTGGAGGAAGACCTTGTGCAGGCGGTTCAGGGTTTAAGGCTTCAAGCTCGGGTGTAGGGTTACGGGTGCAGGGTTTAGGTTTCCCACAAGCAGGCTTGGACCAGGATGCTGCACCCGCTGAGCCTCAAACTTCAACCCTAAAGCCTTGAAGCTTGAACCCTTACTTAGAGGTTCTATAAGTGGGGTTATAAGTCCCACAAGCTGGGTTCTAAGTATGGCTACCCTACATTTAAAACCCAAGAAGCAGTAGACCCTGAGCCCTGAACCCTCGAAAAAGGTGCGAATACAGATGTTCAAGAAGCTATCGCGAGTGCCTTGGACATGTATGGCCTGGGGTCATGTTGGTGTGCTTCGTCCTGTAAAGAGGTCGAAACAAGCACTGTCAGTTTAGTACAACGGTTTAGGGTTCTGAGACCTCAAAAGTTCTGTAGGTCTTCATGCTTTCTCAGAATGCAGGTGTTGGTCCATTGTGCCTTTTGCACCGTGCTGGTGTTCATTGTGGAGTTTGCGTCGGAGCCGAACACTTATTCGGCAACTTTGCTGGTGCGGCGGCAAATATATGAAGCAACACTAGTTTGGTAGTTAGGTTGAGGACGGTCGAGTGAGTTTATAGCAGGATGTGCAGTCTTTACCTTGGCCTTCTAGGGGAAAACCGAAAGCTACCTCACGCTAGTTTCTATGGTTGCTCCTTCTCTTTGCATGCTTCTGGAAGCCTCAAAGGGCCACTTCCTTTCTGTGCGGAGGCTCTTGCCGTTTTGACTTATGTGATCTACCATTTGGTGAATACGGGTCGCGTGGACGTCACTGACCGGCTGCTTAGGCGGGGAGTAACGTCGACCACTGATTGATAAACCGCCTTGCTCTTTACGGACCGAACCCTAAACCCTAAGCCGTGATCTGTCTTAACGTAACTAGGAGGGTTTTCTTTGCAGTCTTCTGGTGGGGTTTGACTGTCCTGCACCCTACATTCCCGAGGCACCGTAGCAACAACAGACTTGTCCCAACAGTGAACTCGTATATAGACCCCAAAGCACTGATTCCTAGATTCCCTGAATCCAATCCCTGAAGCTTTATCTTCACCCTACGCCCTACACCCTAGCCCTAGACCCTAGACCCAAACTCAAGCAGGCCGCTATGCCCTGTCCTCAACGGTATTATCATGACAGCTCTTGTGACCAGTGCCTATGTGAGTCGGACCGAACGGGAGCCCTGGCATTCAGTGGCCGTCAGAGTTTAGGGTTTAAGTGCTTGGAGGGTCGGGGGACTTAGTAACTGGTTATTTTAGGGACTTATAAGTACCATAATCCCAATTAGGGTCCCTTCTAGGGTACTTATAAGTCTACTTACTACCTACTTACTCAGTCCCCCGACCCTCCAAGTAGAGGATTGGGGGATCTAGGGTTTGAGGCTGGACATTATTTAGGGTGTCTAGGGCTTACATAGGGTTTAGGATTTGGGCATCAGCCTTGGGGTTTGGAATTCATGGTCTAGGGGTTCCATGAACCGTAGTACGTATTAACAATTGTCGGAATAATTTGGAAATTCTCATTCATCGTCACTATTTTGAGATGTTAGGTTTAAAATATCTCCAAAGCTAGGCGTGCCAACGCTGCAGCCTTGTCATGTTCGACTACATCTAGTTGTCAGTTGCCGTCCATGAGTGCAGCATAGCAGCTCTGTGCCCTCAAAACCCAAAGTTTCCTTGCAGCAAAACTTTGAAACGACTGCCACAAAACCCACGGACTATCCCCAGAATTGGAGCCTGATCACCCCGAGCCCTAAAAACCCAAGGGCCATGCTTGATTATCCTTACGTCCAAATTTCAAAAGTTCAACCCTTCAAACCCGAGGACTACCTAACACCACCTGAATCAAATATCTAAAGCCTAAGCCTTAAAACCTTTAACCCTAAAATGCAGGACCACCCTACAACCACAACGGCTACCTAGCACCACCCTAAAGCCTAAATCTTAAAAGCTTGATCCATAAACCCTACAGATTTGCCTTTAGAGACTGGTACGCCGTGGCGGCGTATATTTTCGAGAAACCGTACCCTACTGCAACTTTAAGATTCAGAACCTTGCAGCCCATATGTTACATATATACATACATATATCTGCACATACAGCACCGAATCCGAAAGCCCCAGTGTCCTATAGCCAAACGTAAAGTCTTAAGCCCCACGGTCTGGCAGTGGCTTAAGCTAAACCTCTAAACCCCACAGAAACACGAAGACGATTCCAACAGCCCAACTTAAAAGCCCTGATCTCGGAGAGCCCAAAGACTAAGTATCCGTTGTACCAAACTTCAAGCCCTGAGCCTCAAAAACCTGAGGGCTGTGCTTACAGCCCAATTTCAACCATAAAGTTTGAAAGCCCAAGGGCTGCCCGTACAGCCAAGCTTAACACTTCAGACTTCAAGCCCCAACCCACGAAAAAGTTTAAGGACTATCTCGCACCTTTTTTTTAACCCGAAACCGCAAACCCCAACCCTGAAAACCCAAAACCCGAAACCCCAAACCCCAAACCCCAAACCTAAAAGCCTAAACCTAAACCCTAAACCCTAAGCCCTCAACCTCGAACCCTAAACCAGGCCCTAGACCCCAAACCCTAAGCCCTCAACCTTGAACCCTAAACCCTAGACCCCCAACCCTAAACCCTAAACCCAAAACCTTGAACCCTAAAACCTAGAACCCAAAGCCTAAACCCTGATCCCTCAACCTTGAACCCTAAACCCTAGAACCCAAAGCCTAAACCCTGATCCCTCAAGCTTGAACCCTAACCAAGGACTACATCGCACGCTTCGGGCTCTGCTCGGGCGGTCAGATCCTTCTGGGCGTCGTCTTCGGCCCTCGGAGGACCTCTTCGGGTTTAGCTAGGACCCAGAGTAGGCCCTTATTCCCTTTTTTGGGGTTTAGGTTCCCTTATAACCCCCTTTAAACCAAAATGGGCACCCTTTTCATTCCTAGGTTACTCGTAGGTTTAGTTAGGGTTTAGATTGTACTCTAGGGGCCTTACCAATTACCTACACTATTGTGGGGGCTTCTTATTATACTTATAGTATACTGGGCCCCAAAACCCTGTTCGAATTATTAAGGCCCCTATAGTACCCTTTTTGGGTTCATGGTTCAGGTTCAGGGTTTGGGGTTTAGATTGTGCCTTTTAGGGTTGAGGGTTCAGGTTTTAGATAAAGCCGTTTAGGGTCAGGGGTTTCGGTTTAGGGTTTAGGGTTTGCGAATACTGTGAAGGGCTGAAGGGTTTAGATTATACCTCTCAGCATTAAGGGGTCAGGGGTTAAACTTTTCCTTTTAGGGTTAAGGGCTTGGTGGTTAAACTATACGTTTTAGAATTAATGGTTACGGGTTCAGGTTCTACCCCAAATCTCCTCTGTTAAGGACCATGAAGGCTTTATTGAGGTCTTGGGGGGGTCCCCTTAGAATGGGGGGTTCATGTCTTGTGTTGGGGACTGCATTCAGGCCACAACTTAGGGTTTTGGGTCATGATGAAGGTTTGTATGGGTGTAAGATGTAAAGGTTAGGGGTTTAGGGTTTAGGGTTTAGGGCTTGAGGGTTTTTGAGGGTTGCGGGTTTAGGTTTGAGGTTTGGGCTTCTCAGGTATTGTGGAAGAGTGTTCTCGGGCTGGCTTGAACTGTGGGTTTTTGCAAGGCGTTTGTTCCGCATCAAACGGTGCGAGTTTGAGGTTCATATACTAACTACTAAATTGTAGAGGTATTGGTCAGTGTCCAAACTCGGCATGCCCGAGCGGACGGGCACGTGGCGCAGTGCATATTTCGTGCCCAAGTCCCACCGTTTTCACAATAATTCAAATCGCCAGACAAGGCAGGGAACGATTGTGGAGGCGATGAGCTCCGGAGGGAGTGCATGAAAATGAAGATATGCGATAAGCAATGATGAGGCTCCTCGGGGTCCCCTCGGTTGCCTTCCGTCCTGCCTGTGGTAGTGTTGATGGTGGTGGCGGTGATGGTGGTGCTGTTTGTCGGGGGTGGTCGTCGCGGTGTCCTTGTCGTGTGCTCGTGGTCGGTGATCCTGCTGCTCTTGGTCGACTTGGTCGTCTCGGTCGCCGCAGTCGCGGTGGTCGTCATGGTTGCCTATAGGCCATCGTGGTCGTCGCGACATGTTCGGAGTGTGGTGCGTGCCTTTTCACTGTTTGGGTTCGACGCTGGCATATCACCTGTAATTAGTCTCCATTGTACTTCCTTTTTGGGGTTACCTTTTCGGATCCTCATTATATAACTGGCTCAACCAAAACAAGGAACTACAATGGAGACTCTGGTCACCGGGCAAGACCTCTATAGTTGCTGTAAAACCGGAACCCGCAGTTGTTAACTTTGCCCCTGAACCCTGAACCCTAAACCCTAAACCCTTACAACCTTGAACCCTACACCCCAAACCCTAAACCCTGAACAGGTCCATAGCCATCTCGATTTGCTACGCTATTTCTTTCTCCTGGAGCATGGCCGTCACCCACGGCCGGACTGCAATATCTCCCTTGTTCCTACGGCTTGCATTTAGGGATGGAGTTTGCGGGCCTGAATGTCGTTTCGGTTAGCGGATTTGAGCTGTGAGGTTTCGAAGTGTTCTTGTGGTGCTGTCTGTTGTTTGTTGCAAATAGTTCCCGAAGGAGCAGAATGGTGACGCGAAGCAAGCAGCATTCCCAAGCGGTCGCACCAAGCGCCCGCAAGCATGTGCAAAGCGCCCCCCGCCCCGCCCCCCCACCCCAGCGTTTGCGAGTGTCGTGCTGGTCCTGGCAAGAGACAACCCGAGGGTTAGTTATGATTCTACACGTGCTGACGTTTTGGACCATTTGCGCCTGGACATCTTCCGGGCAGAGCGAAGTTCGCTCTTTCCAACATCGTTTGGACTGGACAACCTGACGTTGGGGGCCAGTGGCCTCGTGGTGGGGCTTGGGAGCAGCCCAGTGATTGATTACTCGACCTTCCACGCGCTGTCACTGTACCTGCAGTCGCGACCTTGTATGCCCTCGCGACTTCAGTCAAGAGCTTGAGTAGGTTCGACGCAGTGCGTCCGAACAACCAGCTTTGATCCGCTCCCGCCTAGATAGAGTGGAGAGACAATTTTCGACCTGCAGGCCCAGAAGGGGCAAGTTGCCCGGCTCATCCTCGGTCTGGTTCAAAGTTTGTAACGCGTGCTTGCACGCGTCGTGGAAGAGTCCTGGAATGCACAGCATTCAACAGTCACCCCAACCCGAGCCGGCCGTGTCCCGGCGTTTCAGCAGGTACATGGAGTGTCACATGGTCGACGTTTGTTTGACACAGACTTGGTTACGACGGTGTTTGGTGTCAGGACAGACGGTTCGCCCCATCTGATGGTCGTACATTTGCATCAACAGGACGAAATTGGCTGGAAATTGGTGTCAACAGAACATGAAGTATCGATGTAACTGATGCCGCGGAGCTGTGATCACATGCTAGCCCGGAGAATTGTGTCAAGCGGCATGCAAGGAATCGCGGACTCCACAACTAAACAGTGGCAGGCGTCGTGCACATGTTGGATCACATTGGCCAAGTAGAAGAGATAGAATGTCGTCGTAATGCATCCACCCGAAACATAGCATGCAGCCCAGTGAACATAATTAAATGAACACTTGTGTCTTCAGAGCGACCGACTACGATGTTTGCAGATATTCATCTGCAGTGCCGCTGTCTGTAGAATGCCGCCAACGGACGAGCCGGCCCCCACCACCTGTGTCCGTTTCGCCTATTCTACATCGTAGGCACCTTGGACTACAGTCCCGGCGCTGAGACCTTGTGCGAAGCAGTAGTTGGTGCAACCGTGTCAAGTTTAACATGGCTTGTCTCATGCGATGACCGAGACATTTTCCGCAACCCTTACATCCTTCGAACCCTATAACCGTTGACCGTCATCCCCTACCCTAAAGGTCCACGTACGATGCTTTGGCCCATCGAACCTCGTGCGCAGTGTTGTGGAACCACAGCTCGATTTTTTGTATAGACACAATGCCAATCAAGCATAAGGTCAATATATGTGTGTGTGTATATCTATATAATATATATATATATATATATATATATATATGCGTGTATGCATTTGGGCTCGTGGACTACACAGTTGCGGTTTTCCGGCTTTCTGACCGAGCTCCCTAAACCCCAAACCCTAAGTCCTGAACCCCAAGCCCTGAACCTGAAACCTTAAACCCTAAACCCTAAGCGTTAAATCCTAAACCCCAAGCCTTGTACCCTAAAGCCTAAAACAAGGTTCCTTCTTCAACAGGCCTTCCAAGCTGCAATCGGAATCATGGTGCCTGGCTTCGTTGAGGCTTCGGGGCCGAGGGAGGGAGGGAGAGAGGGAAATGAAGATTGTAGATAAGGTTTAGGGTTTAGGGTTTAGGGTTTAAGGAAAAGAGACAGACCGATGGATGCATAGAGAGATTAGTGCGCATGGAAGATGATGTAGTGGAAAGGTCTTTAGATGGCAATCAGATTGCTACGTGAATGCTGGACAGTGCGCAGTTACGCCACAAGTCAGAAAAGACGGGATGAACGGACTGGTAGGCAGAAGTCCCTCCCTCACGAAACAGTCTTGCCTTGTCAGTCCGCTCTGCGTGAGCGCATCGTCGCTTCCATCCGATCTGAAGATGCCGATTCACTGATCTTTGGCTTCCGGCAGATGTTGAAGGGCATTTGCGATGGAGAGCCTAGGTTCCTGTTGATTTAGGGATTCCATATCAATTATGTACTGCAGACCTCTCTATCACGGCAACTCATTTCAGGTAACAGAATCACTCAACTAACATAACTGTGTTATTTACTATACAGTAAAAGCCAGAAAGTTGGAATATGGTTATCCTAAACCCTTTATGGTAAATTATAGGGTATCCTACCCTGAGACCATATTCCAACTTTCTGGAGTTCCCTGTAAAATTCCTATAATGAAGAACTCAGGAGCTGCTTCTTGACAGTGAGCTCAAAGTTTTCGGCAACACCGCGTGCCTGCAGCGGTTGCTTGCCACCAAGAAGGATTTCCGTGGATGTCCGCTGAAGGAACTCATAGACGGAGCCGATGATGTGGAGAACTTCGAGAAGTTCGTTGCCGCCTCCCTTGAAGAGCCGCTTCGTAGCTGAGTAGATACACTTTACACTTTTTTTAGATAATACTACCCACTATAAAACTAAAAATGCACACTTTTGGAGACTTAGGAACTCTCCTTAAACCCAAAACCCTAAACCCAAGAAAGACCCCAAACCCTCAACCCCAAACCCTAAACCCATCATGAACTCAGCAAGCCAAGGCCGGGTACGGAGAGGTGCGAGAGCGAAAAGAGCGCTCCGCGGTGTCTGCGGGTGCCGCTGAGGTCCCCGTCGGGCCGGATCGTGAAAGTAGACGTGTGCCATGTGCCTTAGATCCCCAATTAGGGTTTAGGGTTTAGGGTTTAGGGGTTTAGGGTTTTGGGTTTAGGGGTTTAGGGGTTTGGGGTTTAGGGTTTAGGGGTTTAGGGTGTAGTGGTGTAGGGTTTAGGGATCCCCGATGAGTGATCTATGAGGGCTCCTTTTAAGGGATATATAAGGGATCTACCTAGGGGCTCCTTTAACTTAGATCCCCAATACCCAACCTTTAAATGTTTCTGAGAGTTTAGTAGGGAAGGGAAAGTTTAACCCTTTACTTCTGTGGCTCATTGGGGGAGTAAGGTGCTGCTGCCACAGCTCTATGGCAGAAAGGAGTTACATCATCTGCTATCGCTGACGGAAGATACTGAATCTCGCCAGCCAGAGGCAATGGCGCTGAAGCAGGCCGAAGCACAGCTGGAGCTCTTCCGCAAAGTCAGGGGCGCCTACTCGGCAAGCCAGTCTGCTGGCTCCGTGTCCAGCTGCGAGACATTTATTGAGAGTTGCTGGGCTTTGGAGTACCATACTTTAGTTCTTTGTGCGGACCTGTTACTTAAAGGGAACCATTTTGAAATAAGCGTCTATACTTTTGTCTCTCTATAAACCCTAAACCCGAACCCCAAACCTTCAAAGCCCAGGTTGCGAAGAGCTCGCTGAGATGACCTTGGTATTAAATGGGAGCACCGAGCTCATCGACATTGAGGAAGCCCATTTCCGGTTCCACCGAGAAAGCAGTGCGCAGAAGTTACTGGGTTCTTGTTAAGAGTAAAGAAGCCCAATTATTTGCTATAGATCACAGTTCTGGTAGCTTAAATCAAATAAACCCCTTAACAAGAACATTTATAGAACCCTTAGGGAACACTAAATTATGGTAACTTACTTGGAGGGTCGGGTGACTTAGTAACTGGTTATTTTAGGGACTTATAAGTATCCTAACCCCCAATTAGGGTCCCTTTTAGGGTACTTATAAGTCGACTTACTACCTACTTACTAAGTCCCCTAAAGACCCTCGAAGTAAAATAAGATCCCTTAAACAAGAACCCAGGTTAGGGCTCGGCATGCCGACTCTGAAGCGCTTCGCACGGCCGCTGGACTGGCAGGGCTTCTCATCCTTCCTGCGCCGCTACGCCCGGCAGGCTCGCGCAGGGCAGTCGAGCGTAGGGTTAGGGTTTAGGGCTTAGGGCTTAGGGCTTAGGGTTTAGGGTTTAGGGTTTAGGATTTAGGGTTCAGGAGCTCTCGAATGAAGCGGATCCAAAGTTCCGAGCATTCGTTCACTTCTGAGCGCCACCCTTCCTGTGCCTTAACCCTAAAACCCTCTTGCAACCCCTAAACCCTAAACAAGTTAAGACCCTAAGCTTCGAGCAGAGAAACCACGAGCCCACACTCAACTTGCATACCGGGAGGGCTTATGGAATTAGTTCCAAAAAACCGTACCGAGGATGGTCTTTTGGGACCTAATTCCGTAATGGTAGTATACGTATATATACATATGTATATATATATATATATGTATATATATACACATATGTATGTATGTATGTATGTATGTATGTATGTATGTATGTATGTATGTATACACACACATATGTATGTATGTATGTATGTGCGTACGTACGTATGTATGTATGTACGTATGTGTGTGTGTATATATATATATATATATGGACTCGCCGGGATAGTATACCCCGAGCCTGATTCCAATACACTTCGGCGTATAAAGCCAAACTGCGAAACTGCTTCTCCAAGACTTCGACTCCTGCAGAGGACAGCGCTTTACGGGGTACTTGAGAGGGGGAGAAGGGGCTAAGGAGAGGTTTAAGAGGGCTTTTAAAGCGGGCTTTAAGGGGATTCAAATGCCTATCTATCCGTTTTCTGCTTACGGCAGCCAGTGGCTTGTTTGACATGGTGTCTCTGTTCTCACTGCATTGGCCTCAGGAACCATCACACTAATATCAGGACCCGTCTGGTCCTGCAAGATTTGTGCATCGGAACAGATCCAACGGTTCTGAACGGTTCCCGACGGTTTGAGATTTTTTCGGAAAACCTTTCCCGAGACTGGCTTGATGGTTCCAAAAACCTTGTGAGTATGCGTAGACAAACATATCACCAACGCATACCCTTAACCCTCAACCTCAACCCCAAACCCAAGCCCTAAACCCCAAACCCTATACCTTAACCCAGAACCCTGAAACCCAAACCCCGAAACTGTCAAGTCCCGAACAGGTGGCCAAGGGGAAGTTACCCACAGAGCAGAGCATGAATGGCATCACGTTACTTGAACAAAACAGTTTCGGTCTGAAGGTTAGGGTTTACTTGGAGGTTCATGGGTAGTTATATGTGGGGTTATGAGTCCCTTAATATGGGTGATAAGTAATTTTACCCTGCTTATAACCCCACTTGTAGCTACCCATCAATGAACCTCCAAGTCGGGTTTAGGCCTGAGAATTTTACGGCGCAGGGTCAAAATCATCGAAGGCTTCTTGCCTTTCGAAAGAATAGATCTAGAGTTGGGGTTTTGTTGTGGTCTGATGGTTTGAGGACTAAGCTAAACGCACTAGTCTTTACAAACACAGCTTTTTGGTAAAAACAGTTCACAAACAGTCAAGCGGCTTCAGGCTCGGGAGCAGGGTTGAGCTTAGAAGAATTTGTCGCTAGGGAGTGGTAGATCCAACCTGACACCAACCTCCACAGTAGTTGAATTGCGCTGGTGCAGTGAGGGGTGTAGGGTTTGGGGTTTTAGTTGGATGCCGTCATCATGGTGCGAACATGCCTGGATGCATGGAGGGTCGAAGCAAGAAATCAGAGAAAACACAGAAAGGTGACCAGGAGACTGTCTCGACTCTAAGGGGAAAGCAGGCAGCACATGTTTCAGTTTGGAAATGGTATGAGGGTTCCCACAACTCGAACCCGACAATCCTGAAACTCTGCAGGCCGAGAGATGGAGAGTTGTTCAATACTCGTATCCCCAAACTGGCGCGCACGCGCACGCACGCCCGCACGCACGCACGCACGCACGCACGCACGCACGCACGCACGCGCGCACGCACCCACCCACCCACCCACCCACCCACCCACCCACTCACCCACGCACCCACGCACCCACGCACGCACCCACGCACGCACGCACCCACGCACGCACCCACGCACGCACCCACGCACGCACGCACCCACACACCCACACACCCACACACCCACACACCCACACACCCACACACCCACACACCCACACACCCACACACCCACACACCCACACACCCACACACCCACACACCCACACACCCACACACACACACACACACACACACACACACACACACACACACCCACCAAGAATTCAACGGATTCCTAAGGAGCCATATATTGACTTACCATAACCGCTGTACATGCGTGGACCCTAAACTTCCCTGAACCCTATAACCCTAATCACCACGTAGGCCCTAAACCACAACAACCCTAATATCAGCATATATCAGCCTACCTCGACACGACCCTCTACTATGCCCTCAATACCCATTATCCCAGAGACTCCAACATCCCTTAATTAACGAATATTCCTTAAATCGTAATAGAGATCCTATTATCATTTTAGGTATATTCCTTAATTAAGGGGTATGGGGAGTCTCCGGGATGAAGGGCCACTCCATCAAAGAGCACCTGCAGGGTCCGGGTAAATCTGACCCTTGAGCCCTTTAACTACTCCGTAGGCAAAAGAAAATATACCTTACATTATAGGGACCCTTAGGGGGGGTAGGGGGGAGGGGGCTAGGGCGTCTTAGGCCTATTTAAGGAAGTATAGTCCCCTACCCCCATGCCCCCCTACCCCCCTAAGGGTCCCTACTTGGAGGGTCGGGGGGGACTTAGTAAGTAGGTAGTAATTAGACTCATAAGTACCCTAACAGGGACCCTAACCTTATTAGGGTTATGGTACTCGTAAGTACCGAAAACAACCAGTTACTACGTCCCCCAACCCTCCAAGAACATTATAGGGGGGCCTCAATGGTTGAAGACAATTTTCCTTGATTGGGTATTGAGCTCTCTGGGTGCTTGGAGGTTCATGGGTAGTGCGGAGTTACAAGTAGGGTAGCTGTACTTATAACCCATGTTAGGGGCCACTTAAAACTACCCATGAACCCCCAAGTACAGCCGCAATCCTCCGCCGAGGTTGCGTTTGCCAAGTGACTCCAAGAAGCATATCATCGCCCGGCAGGGCACCCTCAGTTCGCCCTTCGTGCCCTGGACCGCCTTAGGTCTCAACAGTTGGGATTTGGGTTTAGGGTTTAGGGTTTAAGGTTCAGGGGTTTAGGGTTTAGGGTTTAGGGTCATTTCCAGGGTGTCTTATATGGGAATACCATTCCTGATTATTCCCGCCGTAGTATCCCCATGTCTCCACTGAAACTAATCTCCCTATGATATACTCCAGGACCCTATTCTAATTACAAATTTTGCTATGCTGTTTCTCTCCAGGATGTGGGGTTTCTTAGACTTCAACCTTTTGGGGGCACAACAATTGCAATCCTCTATAATAAACTGGACCTGTCAGGTTTAGGATTTGTGTTTAGGGTTTAGAGTTCAGGATTTAAGATGTTGGTTCAAGGTTGGTGGATTCGGGGAATGTAACCTAGAAGCCTAGATAATTACCAATAGTAGTCTTAGGGTTCCATGTTATCCTCATACTACAATGGAGCCCCAAACCCTATTCTCTTTCTTAAGGCCCCTATAGTAGGGTCTGGGGTTTCCGTTGATAGGTTGGAGCTCCAGGGTGCTTGGAGGTTCATGGGTGGTTATAAGTGGGGTTATAAGTAGGGCGACTATACGTAGAACCCATATTTGGGGACTTATAGCCCCTAAACCCTAAACCCTAAACCCTAATATCTACCCATGAATCTCCAAGTGCGGCCTTCGACACGGAACGATGTTGCTTTCAGCTGAAGCCAAGGGCCAAGCAGGGGCTGCAGGTACTTGGAGGTTCATGGGTAGCTAGAAGTGGGGCTCCTTTAAAGCCTTTCAGGGCTCTGTTTGGGGTTTAGGGTATAGTAGGATCATAGGGTTGGTGGGTAGAAGTGGGGTTAAAAGTCCCCTAAGATGGGTTATAACCATAGCTACCCCATGTTCTTTTAACTACCCATGAACCTTCAAGTAGGTCCTAAACCCTATACCCTTTATAGAATCCCTATCCATCCCTTCAAAGGGACCCTCTAACCGAACCCTTATAACTACCCATGAACCTCCAAGTAGACCCAGAACAGAAGCCTCGCACTGGGTGGTTTTCTTCTGGATTCCCTCTGGGGTGCCGGTATGATCGTTTAGGGTTTATGGGTTTAGGGTTTAGGGGTTTAGAGGTTTAGGGCTTAGGGTTCGGGGGTTTAGGGTTTAGGGTCTACTGCACCTTAGCAAGAAAAGCGCTAAATGCCAAACGGTTGAGGCGCGGAATGCGCCATCGGATCCTGTTCATCTCATCCTGCAGCTGACTCTCGGCCGCCTGCTCGAGTAGACGTTTGTTCCCAGAGACTCCAGTATCCGTTAAGGAGGGGTCCTTTAGCAAGATATCAAGAATCCCTACTATAATTTTCAGGAATATTCCAAATATCCCTCAACCGAGGGATCTTGAAATTTTTAGGGTCGAAAGTTCAGATCGAAAGGAGACTTACCGCTCGGTGGATGAATCGGATGATGCATCGACGCCCCCAAACCCTAAACCCCAGTCCCTGAATCCTGAGCACTAAACCCCAAACCCTGAACCCTAAACCCTAAACAGTTTGGGTCCAGGATATCCAGCACTTGAGCGATAACATTAAGATTCTGATGTTTTTCGGGGTTGGCTTGATATAGAAGCCGAAATAATTAGTCATCTTATTCTTTGGGTCCTCGGGGTTCAAAACTCGATAGCCATGTAGGCCCTTCTAGTCAGCCCTAAAGCCTAAAGCCGAAGGGTATTGGTGCAGGACGGACTTCCGAGGGGAGCGGCCGCAGGAAGTACCTTCACGGCTCGAAGGTGTCGACGAGCTGCAGTCCCCACGGTCGCATCGAAGTCGCCAATCACAGGAACGACATCTGCGGTTTGCCGACGATGAGGTCCAGTCTCCGCAGTCGCACTGAGGTCGCAGATTCAGAACGACTTTTGACTTTTCATGTTTGCAGATTCAAGCATAGTTAGACCTTTTTGAGGTTATAGGGCCCGCAAAAGTCATCACCCTAAACACTAAACCTTAAACCCTAAACCCTATACCCTATACCCTAAACCCTAAACCCTAAACCCTAAAAAGTGTCTTCGTAAACGACAAGAGCTTGTCCAGCCATCTGGTCCCACCCCGCACAGCCACTCAGGGTCGGAAGCCCTGAAGCATGAACATCCTTGGTTTAGGGTCTAGGGGTTTAGGGGTTTAGGGTTTAGGGTTTAGGGTTTAGGGTCTAGGGGTTTAGGGTTTAGGGTTTAGGGGTTTAGGGGTTTAGGGGTTTAGGGTTTAGGGGTTTAGGGTTTAGGGTTTAGGGGAATCGCTCAGGTTAAGAACAGGTGAGACTGGCCCAGGGCATGCACGGGCGTCCAGCGAGAGTTTGGGGGCCTTGTCTGATCAGGACTTCTCTCCTACTTGAATAGTCGAGTCTCACTTGTTGGGTTAAAGGTTTGGCTTGGGGGCTAGGTTTTAAGGCTGCATAGGGTTTAGGGTATATAATAGGATCCTTCTTACTCGTACGTTAGGACCAGATTTGCCAGGGGGCTTGCCCACCTGACTTTAAGCGATGCGGTGTTGCAGTTGAGCTGCGAAGCCGCCCACGCCATTTTCCGGGTTGGCACATGGCAGCCAGTTGGTGCAACAGTGGGAAAAATCACGAAGACAGTAAAACCCCGAAGCACTAACTCCTTAAATACCCCTTAATTGCAAAACAGTCGAGAATCGGATGAGTGAGGCCGCAATGTCAGTCCTTTGAGTTATGAAACAACAGCATGATGCCCAAGAGGCGGCGGCAGTTCTTACATGGCGCCGGGTTCCATGTTGAAGGGCGGCTCTTCGCCCCCAAGCACTAAGCTTTAAGTAAAAAGCACAGCCCGAAACGTTTAGAGGTTGGGTTCAGGCTTGCGCACTTTTTTGTTATGACCAAGGGCCTATTACAGGTTCTAGGTAGGAGCCTGCGACGAGGAAGGAGCAGCAGCAACATCAGCAACAGCGTCAACAGCGACAATGGTATGCATAAGTACCCAGAGATTGCAAAACCCCGGAATTAAGGAATGTACCTTAAATTATATTAGGGCTCCTACTACAATTTACAGCATATTCCTTAATTAAGGGGTTTTGGAGCCTCTAGGGTAACAATACTTATAACCCATATGAAGGGACTTATAACCCCACTTATAACTACCCATGAACCTCCAAGTTCTGTGAGGTGTTGACATGTCAAGCTTAGCAGCAGGGTTTACTGGTTTCAAATTCTGCAGACATCTATGGCAAAGATGAAGACCCGAAACCCCGCGCGCAAAACCTACAGAAGTTGCAGGCGCAAGAGATCTTCATGGCCCTAGACTCGCTACCCACGGCTACAGCGGCAGCCTCACACAGCGTCAAGGCAGGGCATCAAACTTTTTGTGGACATTGTTTTAGTTAACAAGGATTGGATGGTGCATGGCTTTTGATGTAATGTTTGGGTTTACCCATAGGCTCCATAGTAGTTCCTTTTGGGGATTACCGTGCGATGGCCTCCCTTGAACGCAGAACACCTAATCCCCTAAACGCCTCCACCTCCAATCCCCGAAACCCGCTGTACTCCGCGAAACCACTTACACCCGAAGCCCTGGCTCTAAACCCCGAACCCTGAAACCCCCTAAACTGTCCTTCCCCCATCCAGATCCTGCGCTGCTTAAACTATATGGTGTATGACTTGGGCCTTCTTAGGCTTCGAAAGATACCGGTATCATTCCTTGAACCCTGAACCCTGGACCCTGCACCCGACACCCTAAACCTCAAAACCTTAAACCCTGAACCCTGAATGCTTGGAGTTGCAGGCCACGCCAGGGGTGCGAATAGCTCGCGTTTAGGCTGCTTTGCCAGTGGCAATATCGGCGCCTTCATGATTAGAATAGGGCCTGGGTCGGGTTATATGATGGTCTAGGGTTTACTTTCACCCTGAATCACTTACCTTTTCAAGGCTTCCTGCTATGATTTCCTTATATAAGTCCCTAAAAAAGGTAGGCTGTTCCGGGTTAAGGTAGGGTTTAGAGTTATCAGAAGGAAGCCAAATGGTAAACCCCTAAACCCTTAAACCCTTAAACCCTAAACCCCGAAACCCTAAACCCCTAAACCCTGAAGAAGGGAAGCCTAAGGGGTAATTATGCAGATTTCTGCATGACGAAATCCTGGGTTCCACATTCAACACCTCAGACCCCCAGAACCCTGAAGATGAATCCCTAAGCACACTTCAACTCTAAGCCGGTATAGGGTTCAGGGTATAGGGTTCAGGGTTTAGGGTTTTATGAACCCCAAACCTTGGGTAAATCAAGAACGCTCCCAAAAATACCTGCTGCCCTCAACTGGAGGCTGCTAAAGAGGGCTTCCTCCGCCTCTTCTCAGAACTGGCGACAGTGCAGGGCCGACTGGAGACTTGGCTGATTGGCTTCAGGGTTGAGGGTTCTAGAGTTCAGGCTTAGGGTTTAGGGTTTAGGGTTCATGGTTTTAGAGTTTAGGCTTTCGGTTTAGGGTTTGGGGTTTAGGGTTCCGGGTTTTAGAGTTTAGTCTTTCGGGTTTGGGTTTAGGGTTTACGGTTGCTTGGGTTTTAGGGTTTTAGGCTGTAAGGGGCCAAGGGGCTCCTTCTCTCTCCCGCATCCTACTTGGAGGTTCATGGGTAGTTATAAGTGGGGTTATAAGTAGGGCAGCTATACTTATAACCCATGTTAGGGTACTTATAACCCTACTTATAACTACCCATGAACCTCCAAGTAAGCTACCAGTTTTGCAGGGTTTGGGTGGGAGCCTTCAGGTTTGGAGTGTGGGAACGAGCGTCGAGAAAGTAGCTTTGGCTGAAGGCCTTTTCAAGAGGTTGGGGGTGCAACAGGGGGCAGGCCGGTTATGCGCGAACTCCGTTTGAAGCTGGGGTTTGGGGTGTTGTTTCCTTATTAATAACAAGTATAGTAGAACATACCTCAAAGCCCTATTCTGTGTATGTGCACACTCTCTGAGGATGCACATGTCGTCCTTTGTTTAGCTGTTCGTCGACACGCTTTCGCCCACATCCACCTCACAACCCTATATTAAGGCCCTTGTATTATGCCTTACGAATTTAACGCTTGACGGATCTCAAAGACATTGTTGGGCTTCCGGGCCTCAGGGTCTCGGGGGAATTATCTTTCACAGGTCGTCACTCATCAACATCATCACGATCATGAATCGGGCGTATGTCCGGACGTTGAACATCCTATCGCACTGCCTCCCTTTGTTTGGTATGCTCGCGTTCTTCACAACTTCAACCTCCAACCCTAAGACAAACACTCTAAAAAAGCTCAAATCATCAACCCTACAATCAATTCTAGAGTCTTACACCAGGCAGCACTAGTTGTCCTTAATCCGGTTTCCAAGTTTTTTTGGGTTTTACTATATTCTAACCACCACAAAACTACCACACGACCTCTCTACATCCCAGCAAGCAGGAAAAGCAGTTGAAGCTGAAGCAGGCCGGATGAGGAACCTGCAGGTTCTTCTGGGAGACCACAGGAGTTCGGAGGATTCTTGGAGCTGTTTTGGGGGGGTATTGAATGATTTGAGAACGGGTTCTAGAAGGGTGCTCTAAACTCTGAACATGTAAAAGGTTCCAGAAGGGTTTAGAGATGCTGGAGATGCGAGTTCTTGGGGGTCAGACTCGGGAGGCTCAGGATTTAGGCTTTAGGGTTTGCCAGGCCCTACATGTGCCCGCTAATGCAGCCCTCATGCTCCTTAACAGTGGGTATTTTAGGGCATAACAGAGGGGAGTTGGCGGGTCTAGGTAGGGGGTTCACAGTTTAGGGTGCGGGGTTCCAGAGTCTATGAGCTCCGGATTCAGGGATTGGCTAAGGTGCATAAAGTCTCGGACAGTGTCGAGTGTAGGGTCGAGCGGCCAGGTCAGATCTCGCCCAACAGCAAGGGTCTAGGGATGCTGAAACCTAAACACTGAACTAAACCGACGCCCCTCTAATAGAAGGGAACCCCTCAAAGCAACCCTTCGGAAAAAACTCGCATGACAGCCCTTCTAGAAATCCTTCAGGAAACCTTCAAGAAACCTTAACCCTAAACCCCTAAACCCCTAAACCCTAACTCCTAAACCCTAAACCCCTAAACCCCTAAACCCTAACTCCTAAACCCTAAACCCCTAAACCCCTAAACCCTAACTCCTAAACCCTAAACCTTCTAGAAACCTGCAAGAGGGCCCGGGGGACCCTGCAGTCCTGTCGAAGCCTTTAGAGGGATTTTTGAGGGTTTAGGGCTTAGGGTTTAGGGTTTACGGTTTAGGGTTTAGGGCTTAGGGTTTAGGGTTTTGCCGTAGAGTGGCGCATAAGCGGAAGTATCTCGCGACAGTGTAATTTCGAGTGCGTCGTCTTCTGACGCTTGGCTGTTGGAGCCTGATTGTGGATGGCTCTTTTTTTAACTCTCCCACCCCACGCCGTCTAAGGCGGCCAAACCACCCAAACCTATTCCTTTGAGGGTTTAGCCCCTAAACTCATTCTATGGTTTTTTTTATTTCTTCAACCGCAAGGTTCACAGCAGCCACACGAAAAGAAAGGAGGGGACCTCGACTTTGGCATCTGGCCCCATTAAAATGCACATTTTATGAACGGAATTTAGAGGCATTAGTTTTGCCGAACAGGCCAGGCAGGGCAGGCAGGGCAGGGCAGGGCCAGGGCAGAGGGCGGGCGGGCAGGGCCAGGCCAGGGCAGGGCAGGGCAGGGCAGGGCGGGGCTGGACTCCAAACCCAAAGCCCTAAACCCTCAAGTTCTCCTTGGCAGCTGCCCGAGTTGTTGACGCCATGATACACATTCCAGAAGACTACTACCTCGAAAACTGCCTTGTCGGGGGTGTCTACTACCACTTGAACTTCGGTGACTTCTACCAGAACGACTTCATTGGGTGTTTAGTTTCATTAAGTTGAGGGCAAAATGCCAGCGCTTCCTGGAGAAAGGGTGCACATCAACTTTAAAAGAAAAACCTTAAACCCTAAACCCTAAAACCCCCAAACCCGGAAACCCCACAACCCTGCAACCCTAAAGCCCCAAAGCCCTGCAACCCTAAACCCTGAGCCCTAAAAGAGATCGTGAGGAGCTGCAGTCGGCTCTCGCCAGACAGGGTGGCCCCGAATCGCTTCGGGGTCAGCTGCAGGAGGTGGGGGGAAGGTACCAAAAGGGCCTTAGTAATGACCTACACTATTTGTGGGGGGTTCCTTATGATAATTATAGTATAACGGGCCAAAACCATATTTCAGTTATTAAGGCCCTAGATTAGAGCTGTTTCGGGTTTTTCAGGCTCGATGAGGCTACTATAGGGGCCCGAAGTGTTTCAGCAAGGTTTTTAGGACTTCAGTATTGTTTATGGTTTCAGGGTTTCCATGTGCTGGATTTTAAGTTTTCGGATTTGGAC